AAGAAATTTCATAATGTTAGGAATCCATATCTATTCAAAATCCCATGAAAAAGATGAAGAACAATTAGAATGTTTTTCTTGGATTTTTTTCTTTAAAGAAAAAATCTCTGGAAAAAAAGTTTTTCAAAGTGAAAATAAAATTTGTTAGCCCAAAAGTTAACGAACCACTTTTAGGCTTTAAGCCTATAAAATTCACACCGATCATAGGACAGAGAAAGATTTCTCTTAACATGAACCGGCCAGCCCTGAATATTAAGCCAATTTGCACAAATAAAGCAAGTCATAATCTATTTTTTTTTTCAAAAACCTATACCATCAATATGGGCTCATATGAAAATTTCAATGGATTATGGTCCAAAATTATGCTTGTGAAATATTTTATTATCAACAGGTTTATTAATATACACTTCTGAAAACAATCAAATGTGCCGTCTTAGCTCAGTGGTAGAGCGCGTGGCTTTTAACCACGTGGCCGTGGGTTCGATCCCCACAGACGGCGAAATTTTCTAGCATTGCAGAGAAATTTGATTTTTAAGGTACCATTTTGACTTTTGAGGTCCACAAACATTCCTTCTTTTTTTTTCAGCTCTATAAAATAAGCGTCCACAAACAAATAGAATTTTTTTTTTTTTTTTTGATAAGTCATTGATATGATAATTGAGATTATAAATAAAATGAAATATCTGGGTGTTTCTGTACTAATAGTATTATTATTCAATCTTAAACCGAAAAAGAGCTAAACATGGCTTCACTAATTTAGAACAAAAATGAACATTAATTTTAAACACTGAAAAAAAAAACTATAGTTATCGTTAATGGAGGATAAGAGTTCCTCACTTTTTTTTTTTTCCTTTTTGTAATAGTAAACTCAAAGAAACCTATCCAAAAACATTAATTAAGCTTTTGACTAAAAAATCAATTCTCTTGTTTTCGATAAACAAAAATATTTCTTACACTTTTGCACGTAGCTCCCATAAACGTGCTTCCAACAAAACAAAAAATAATTATTAAATTAAGATCAATAAAACAAAGATCGTAAATGGTATCTCCGGCCGCAAGTTTTAAGTAGTTTTCGTTCAAAATTTTAAAACCATTCGTTTTGATTCCTCTAAATCTCTCCTTCCTCCTCCACCACCACCTTCAAATCCTCGCCGCAAATAATGGGAGGAGAGTTTCGTCATTTCTCCTCCCACGTGTCTCTTCTCCTCCTCCTCTTTCTCGTCGTCAAATCCAGCTCCTCATTTACTCCAGCTGATAACTACCTCATCGATTGTGGTTCCTCCGGCGAAACAAAACTCTCCGACGGTCGCAATTTCAAATCCGATCAACAATCCGTCGCGTTTCTTCAAACAGACGAAGACATCAAAACCTCTGTCGACTCAATCCCGATCTCCGACTCCAATTCTAGTACCCTTCCCTTGTACTTAACCGCTCGAATCTTCGCCGGGAAATCAACTTACTCTTTCTACATTTCACGACCTGGTCGTCACTGGATCCGCCTCCATTTTTATCCTCTCAATCACCCTCTCTACAACCTCACAAACTCCGTCTTCTCCGTCACCACCGACGCCACCGTTCTCTTACACGATTTCTCCGCCGGAGACACTTCTTCGATCGCCTTCAAAGAATATCTAATCTACGCCGCCGAGAAACTCTCTCTCTATTTCAAACCACATAAAGGCTCCACCGCTTTTATCAACGCCGTTGAAATCGTCTCCGTTCCCGACGAGCTTGTCCCGGATTCTGCTTCCTCTGTTCCTCAAGCTCCTGACTTCAAAGGCTTAAGCAGCTTCTCTCTTGAGATCCTTCACCGGATAAACATTGGCGGCGATTTGATTTCTCCGAAAATTGATCCTCTCTCACGCACTTGGCTCTCTGATAAACCTTACAATTTGTTCCCTGAAGGTTCGAGAAATGTCACCGTTGATCCAAGTACGATTACTTATCCAGACGGCGGAGCCACGGCGTTGATTGCTCCTAATCCAGTTTATGCCACGGCGGAGGAAATGGCGGATGCACAAACCTCGCAACCTAATTTCAATCTTTCATGGAGAATGAGCGTTGATTTTGGTCATGATTACTTCATTAGGCTACATTTTTGTGACATTGTAAGCAAATCGCTCAACGATCTTGTCTTCAATGTTTTCATCAACAAGCTCTCTGCAATCTCTGCACTTGATCTCTCTTCACTAACCAACGCTTTAGGCGCGGCGTATTACGCGGATTTTGTGCTTAATGCGTCTACGATCACCAATGGCTCGATCTTGGTCCAAGTTGGTCCTACTCCGAGTCTTCAGTCGGGTAAACCGAATGCCATTCTTAACGGTTTAGAGATCATGAAGCTGAACAATGCTGCCGGGAGTTTAGATGGGCTTTTCGGGGTTGATGGGAAATACAAAGGGCCTATTGGTGGGATGTCCTCTAAGAAGCTTGCGATTGCGGGTATCGGATTTGTGATGGCACTAACCGCTTTGTTAGGGGTTGTCATGTTGCTTGTTAGATGGCAGAGACGTCCTAAAGACTGGCAAAAACAGAATAGTTTCTCGTCGTGGTTGCTTCCTTTACACGCAAGTCACTCGAGTTACATCTCAAGCAAAGGCGGGTCTACTTCGAGGCGGATGAGCATTTTCGGGTCAAAGAAGAGCAAAAGCAATGGATTCTCTAGCTTTTTCTCGAACCAAGGATTAGGACGGTACTTTCCCTTTACTGAACTACAAATCGCTACGCAAAATTTTGATGAGAATTCTGTGATTGGAGTCGGAGGATTTGGAAAAGTCTACATAGGAGAAATTGATGGTGGGACGCAGGTCGCGATCAAAAGAGGGAGTCAGAGTTCAGAGCAAGGGATAAACGAGTTTCAGACGGAGATTCAGATGCTGTCCAAACTTAGGCACAGACATTTGGTGTCTCTAATCGGATTTTGCGATGAAAACAAAGAGATGATTCTCGTCTACGAATACATGTCAAACGGTCCTCTGCGTGACCATCTATACGGCTCCAAAGAAAATGACCCCAACCCTATTCCTACCTTGTCCTGGAAGCAACGTCTAGAGATTTGCATTGGATCAGCGCGTGGACTCCACTATCTCCACACGGGTGCAGCACAAGGAATCATCCACCGCGATGTCAAGACCACCAACATTCTCTTGGACGAGAACTTAGTCGCTAAAGTTTCTGATTTTGGACTTTCAAAAGATGCCCCTATGGAACAAGGGCATGTAAGTACCGCGGTGAAAGGTAGTTTCGGGTATTTAGACCCCGAGTACTTCCGCAGACAACAACTCACTGATAAATCTGATGTATACTCGTTCGGTGTGGTGTTATTCGAGGTTCTTTGCGCGAGGCCAGTGATAAACCCACAATTACCTAGAGAACAAGTAAACTTAGCAGAATATGCTATGAATTTGCATAGAAAAGGTATGTTGGAGAAAATCATCGATCCGAAAATCGTGGGAACGATTAGTAAAGGGTCGTTAAGGAAATTTGTGGAGGCTGCAGAGAAATGTTTGGCCGAGTACGGTGTTGATCGGCCTGGAATGGGCGATGTGTTGTGGAATCTTGAATATGCTTTGCAACTTCAAGAAGCGTCGGCTCAAGTTGATTTGTCGGAGGATAAAACTACAATGAATATTGAAATGGACTATATTCCCGGCGAGGAAATGCAAACTCCATCGCATTCTGTGCTGTGACGGTGGTGGTTTCAATGTGAAACTTTGCTTGGTTTTTTTTTTTTAACATGTTTAGTTTGGCTTTCAAAAAGATGTAGGATTTAAGAAAGCCTTTTGATTTGTTTTTTCTTTCTTTCTTAAATGCAGTTTTAGTTTATTTCTTTCCTTTGATTTGAAGGAAATGAGATTTTTTTTTTTACTTGGTGATCATTTTAAAAAGACATTGGGTTGTCTTGTAGATTATGTTGTGTATACTTTGTTTGATGATAATGAATTTTCCCTTTCTTCCACCAAAAAATACATACATATATATATATATATATATATATATATATGAAATTGGGATGAAGAGTAGTTGGTGGAATTGGAAGCTAGTTTTGCAATGAACCATCTCAAATATCTAGGATAGTAGGATCTAAATGGTAAACCATTGAAGAATGGAGTTATGGATATTTCAGTGATTTGGCAAGTTCTTACTAATTATATTTTGCATTCATTGGATACATGATTCCGTAAGTTCTGTAATATCAATTCTCTATAAGCGACATTTCTTTGGGAGATTACTTGTATTGTGGGGTGCACGAATGGCATGATCAATATAGTTTTCTTCCGAAAATTGGAATGGATGGTTGGATATTATGTAACGTTTCTGCCACCACTATTTGTGGTCCATAAGTCTCCCATACTTTATTAATGAAAAAAAAAAAATTACAATCGAACATATCTAGACCGCGTAGATCCATTCACGTCTTCTAACCAAATCGAACGAACATTATCTAGAATCGAGCTAAAAGCATGAAAACCTAAAGGTAAAAAAAATGAATTGTTTGCCAATCCATCCGCTAGACGATTAGCCTCCCTATACACATGAGAAATCCGGACTATCCAGTCCATAAATATGAAGTCGAGATAGTCCATAGATACGAAGCCATAACACAAACGTACTAGGAATAACATAGGATAAGAATCAGTTATCCCTGTCAAGATTGTTTGGCAAGATTGTTTCATGTTATACTTACTTACACGATACCAAAAATTACTTTTCATTAGAGCATCAATTGTTATCATATTATATAATAATTCAATTACGATCAACTGCAGTTCTCGTAGTTATATAAGATAAGCTATTCACCAAAAAAAAAAAGTTATATAAGATAAGCTTAGTTATTTTGGTTATATAAATAACTAATTCAAAATTTTAAAACTTTTCTGTATACACCACACAATATTCATAAAATCAAGATCATCTGAATCTAATTTTTATACATAAAGTAATAAAATTTAATTTGTAATTTTTTTGGCAAATAATTAGGGGGAATTTGTAAAAAAAAAAAAAAAAAAAAAAAAAAAAAAAAAAAAAAAAAAAAAAAAGGGTAACGAATCAACGAACGTAAACACAAAGGCTCCGCTCGTGTGCCGATGTTTGAAACTTTGAGTTTCAGGTAGGCTCCATCGTTCCTTTGTCAGGCCCTAACCTGAGATGGTGGAAGGTGAAAACTTTGACTGCGAAGAACAGAGGATCACACACTTTGATCTGAGAAACGATCCCCAATTTCCAATGGTTTTCGTTAGAGAATCGACTGATTTCGCTAAGGACGATCTCGCTATCTTCCCGCCGATCAACCACGAGAATCTCTACATCGACGGATTCGATAAGGACCGAGAATATCCGTCGGAATCCTCCTCTCCTTCATCTTCGTCGAGACTCTCAGATTCTTCCTTGTCTCCGTCCGATTCAGACGAACAATTTCAGTTTTGCCGGAAATCGCATTCTCAGCCGTCAGAAGCTGTCGGGAAATCTCGGTGGAAATCCATAATTGAGATTGATATAATCCAAGTTTGGTGGAAGATTCTTCTCGCTCGAGTAATGCCAAAGTTCCAGAATTTGGTGACTTGCTTCTCCAGAAACAGTCTCTGTTCCTTCTCAAAGACTCTCCGGTCATTTTATCCGGTCATGGTCATAGTGCTTTGGTGGTGGATGCGGAACCGAACTCGCCGGCGACATCAAAAAGGAGAAATCATCGCAGCTCATTTTAGAGATACTATCAAAGAGAGAGACGAGGTTTGGAATCTCATTCCTGCTCTGTTTTTTTTTTTTTTTATTAATTCCTACCAAGTGTTAGACGAAATGTCAATGAGACACCTATAGTTACATTACATCTCTCGTTCCTAACAAGTTTCTGATTTGTGTGTTTCTGCAGAGAATAGCTCAACTCTTGCATCAGATTACTCAGATGAACGAGTTACTTGTAAAAATAACACATTCGAATTGATCACAAGATTCTTTTGTCTTTGTTTGTATTCTTCTCTTTCTGAGTTTCTCAAAACTGGAATTTTTCAGAATAAGAATCAATGAGACAAAGAGAACAACGAAATAATCTCATGTCCTTTGCTTCTGCATTACTAAAGCAAACATCTTACCTGAGTTTATTGTGATACATGGCTAGAAAAAATCATCATTGCCGCAGATTCTTCTTCTTTGTCTTGCTCCTGCGTTTCGGTTTTGGTTTCAGTTTTGGCTTCGCTTTATTCATTGTAGCGTGAATCTTCAAGTTAAGTGCACGACGATCCACCATTGCAGCTTCTTCTTTCTTCTTCATAGGTTTGAAAACCTCTGTGACAGATGGATCAAGCAAACTAATGGAGCAACTAAGTGTAACATTAAGTGACATTGCCTCTTCCCAAAGCTCTTTTCCTTTCTCAAAGTTTCCTCCTTTACATAGTTTTGGAATGAGCAGATCATAAACCGGACCATAACCATCCACTGAGCTTCTCTTCATCTTCTCAAACAATTGAAGTGCAAAATTTACCCGCTCGACCCCACAAAGAACCCCGATCAGATCATAATAGAATTTGTGTTCGGGTCTCAGTCCTCTCTCGATCATCTCATCCACAATTTGGTTTCCTTTACCAAACCTTCCTGTCAAATACAGAACCCTCACAACGAAGTAATAGCTCGCTGTATCGGGATCACATCCCGATCTCTTCATCTGTTCTAAAATCTGGCAAGACTCTCTCACCCTTCTCGTCCTTCCTAGACAAGAAAGCAATATGTTGTAACTAATAGACGTAGGTTGGATTTTGTAAGACCTCATCTCCAACATAATATTCAAAGCTTCAGGAACAAGCCCAGATGGGTTTCGATTCACGTTTCTTTCGCAGAGGCAGGTAAGCAACGAGTTGAAACAGAACAAATCCGGTGTAATCCCGGCTGATTTCATATCTTGTATAACTCTTCTTGCTTCCTTCACGTTTCTTTGTACCGACCACCCGAATAAAAGACTTCTATACACAGACAATTCATTCCCTGAGATTGCATCCTTGTGATGATGCATAACTCCCAATGCTCTCTTCACATGTCCTCTGGAACAGAGCGCACTTATAATAGCCGTCACAGTAAAGCTATCTTGTGGGCATAAAAACTTGTCCAGGATCTTGAAGATACCTATTGCATCTTCTTCCTTACCAATCTTAACCAGAGTTTCAGCGACAATGCTAAACGTTTGCTTGTCCATCGCCCGATTCTCCTGCCTGAGATCTGATAAGAGTATCTGAATAGCTGTGTGATCCTTCTTCTCAGCCAAAACTCTTAGGACATGGTTGAACTCCTTGTCGTGTACATTAGATCCCAGGCTTTTACACGACCAGGAGAAAAATCTCAACAACCTTCTCGGTGAAGTCTCGTTCTTGCAAGACTCAATCACTTGGGTAACAAGGTTGGATGATGGAGAAACCGAAACCTGGTTCAAATTTTTTTCAAGATCATCTAAACCACCAATTGGGGAAGAAACAATCCTAATAACTTCCTGCAATTCAGTCGATGCACGGTCCGGTCGATCTACCAAATGATGAGAGCAAAAATAACGTGTCAGCTTTATTGTATTCGTTACAAACACAATCCCGTTTGATCTGACAATGGACCTCATCTTCTCTGGGGAATTTCATCAAGCACGTGGTATGCATAAGGTTCTCGAAGACCAAGAGAGATACACCATTGAAAGGGATGTAAGATTTTCTCCTCAGTTACAGCTTCAGTGAAAATTCTTCAAGCAACACGAAATTCAAATTCTACTAAAAGACCTGATTTTGCAGAACTCTAGTCTCTAGAGACCGCACGCAATATATACATTTGTGACAGACCCCGCGTGTCTGAAAGGGGTACTTTGGTCTTTTGGATGTCATCCTTGCTAGATTAGAACCGGCATCGGACCGGATAAAACCGAGAATCGGGACACGATGGTTCTATAAGTCAAATTCTAACCGGAATGATCACTGCGAAGGCCGGCAATAAAATAAAAATAGTAATGAAATTGCATGAATAATTTAACACGATAATAAATTAATTTGGTCAATGGTCGATGCAAAACGTAATAAAAGTTGGACCGGGACAAAACGTGTCTTGCGGTAAATGAAGTCGAAATATTTCAGAATTAATTACGGATTTTGCCCTTTTTTATTATGGTATTTATGGATTTTACCCTTTTTTGAATTGTTTAAAGATTTTGTCTTTTTTTAGGTTCCAAAAATATGATTTAACATGCGTTTCATTCGTTATGTTGGGGTTTAGTCGGTTCCATTTGTTCTTAGGGTTTAGTATTTGGTATAATATACGTATTTTTGCAAAAAAAAATCAAAAATACGTATATTTTTAAGTGTTAAAAAAAACAAAATCCATAAACAATTCAAAAAAGGACAAAATCCATAAATGTCATTATAAAAAAGGCAAAATCCGTAATAATCCCAATATTTCATGCATCATTGGTCCACTTGTACAAACGGGATTAGCTGCTATATAGAGCCAATCGGTGATAAATAATTAAATTTTAGCTTGTCGACTTGTAAAAACGTTTAGCCTACCAATTAACTCTTTCTATGATTATGACAACTTAATTATTTGTTTCCCAACTACTGATGATGAGATTAACCATCGTGCTAATTTCCTGTTTACAAGACTATTTGCACATGCATTATTACAAGGTATAATTAAAAAAAAAAAAAAACACTTGAAAATTTGTTAAAACATCTAATTTGAAAGACAAGAACATGTCATATAGCTTGATTTCGACCACTTTCAGAAATAAATGAATCATAATGCCTAAATCATCTACAACAACCATGAAAGGAGTGTTATAACTATAAAGCTAACTGTGTTTTCATCTATCTATTGCTTTTAGAAAATCTCATCATTTTTAGGAGTATTTATGATGCGATGCTATAAAAGTAAAATTTTCTGTATTTTTTTTGTATCTCTAGTTGAATAACAGGAGAAAAAAACATCTGATAATAGTTTTCCTTCTTGTTTTTAATATATTTGATAAACGAAATGAAGCCGAATACCTAAAGTTTGGTTTCTGATGGTTTGGTCTGATCTGGTCATATATGTATTTTTAAAAGATTTCCAAATCTTTTTTCTGTCGATATTTTGATATGTTTTGTTGATGTTGTGTCCACCATAATAATATCAAAACAAAAATAAATATCATGAGATATTTTTCTCAAGATGACGTGGCCTTTTTTCTATCTCAACCAAACTATCCAAGACCACTTTTTTTTTTTATATGGCTGCACTTTTTATAGTCCACGTCATCTCCTTGGCCTAAAATATCCCAATGTCCCCACCCATTAAGCTAACGCGTAAGAAAAAGTCTCAATCTCCACCGTCCAATTCTATCCACTGTCAACGGTCTCAGATTTACCATCTCTCTCTCTCTCTCCCCATTTTGCCTCTTTTTCGCGTCTCATAATTTGACCATTGATTGACAAAACAAAACTATGAGTCTTCTTTCTCTTCTCACTTCTCTTGTCGGAAATTCACCTTCTCTCTCTCTCCTCTTCATCTCACCGCCGGCGTTACGCCGGATCTCCGGTGACTTTTGTTGAGCTGTTTTGTCGATTCTTGATTCGATATAGCATCAAAAGAATTTCAGCTCTTTGCTCTTAGATTTAGCTTATCTTTTTTGTTCTCATGGATAATGAATTAGGTTGGGGGATTAAAAGAGTAGTTTTTGTTTGGTTGTGAGATTACTTGACTTTTGTAGAGGATAAATTAGGCGACTTTGTAGGGACAGTGTACCGAAAAACCCTAGTTCTGATTTGGCCATGGAAGTATCATAGCACTTACTATTGTCGGTTTTATTTGTTTTACTTTTGTATAATCTTTTTTTCTTTTTTTTTTTTTCTTTTTTGTGTTAGGGAAGATAGTTTTCTGTGATTAGATATTTTTTTGGTGGGTTTAGCTGTTAATCTGATCATGGATTTGAACGGTGAGTGTAAGGGAGGAGATGGGTTTATTGATAGAAGCAGAGTTAGGATTTTGCTTTGTGACAATGATTCCAAGAGCTTGGGAGAAGTTTTCACTCTCCTTTCAGAGTGTTCTTATCAGGGTATGTTTGCCAAAGATCCTCTTTTTATTTTGTTATCTGTTGCCAAGTTGGGACTACTACTTTAGATTACAGATCTATTAAAGGTTCTTGTTGTCTGGCTTTTTGAGTCAGTATGGTTCATTGGTCAGATTTGATCAAGAAGTTTTTGAATGCATCGATAGTGTGTATTGCTTTATTTTGTACACTTTGTTTGAGTGTTTGTTGTTCAAGACTAAATGATGATATATTGGATGGATTGTTTTTTTTTTCTGAATTCAGTGACTTCAGTGAAATCAGCAAGGCAGGTGATTGATGCCCTTAATGCAGAGGGACCTGATATCGATATAATACTGGCTGAAATTGATCTCCCAATGGCTAAGGGTATGAAGATGCTGAGGTACATCACACGAGACAAAGATCTTCGGAGAATCCCTGTGATAAGTAGGCTGTGTTTTTTACTGTTCTTCTCGTTGTATTATCTATTCGTGGAGCTGTATTTTCTCTGCTTATCAAAGTGATTTTACAGCATGATCATTAGCTTGATGCTAAATAATCTTATAATATTCTCTATTTAAGTGATGTCGAGGCAAGACGAAGTCCCTGTCGTGGTAAAGTGCTTGAAGCTAGGTGCAGCTGACTACCTTGTGAAGCCTCTTCGGACCAACGAGCTTCTGAACTTGTGGACACACATGTGGAGAAGAAGACGCATGGTTTGTTTTGCTTGTCTCAAGTTCTCTCTATGCGTCTTACTGTCTTTTGCGCATTTATTGATAGCATAACTTTTATGTCTGTCTGTCGTCTTTTGGAAATAAAAGACCTCTATGCGTCATATGTTTGTTTTGGCAGCTAGGACTTGCTGAGAAGAATATGTTGAGCTATGATTTTGATCTCGTGGGATCTGATCCAAGTGATCCAAACACAAATAGTACTAATCTGTTCTCTGACGACACAGATGAGAGAAGTCTTAGGTCCACCAACCTGCAGAGAGGAAATTTAAGTCACCAGGAAAATGAGGTGAGAAAGTATTTGACAGTTTAAAGCCCTCTGAAAATGGGGAAGAACTGATTTTTGGCTTG